GTGCAGTTTCACAGTTGTAATGTAGCATTCTGAGCTCAGGGTCGACCTTTCCTCTCTCATGCCAATGCCCAAGCCTGGGCCCAGGGGACACAGGCAGCTGATCTCTGTCGAATACACGAACTGCGCCCAGGATTATATCACTACCATTAGGGCTCTATATTCCTCACTTCCAGGATCCAAAAAGGAGTTGCTTTAAAAAGTCTTAAATAGTGTGACCTGCATTAGTGTACTTTGTGGAGTTTCCAAATAATCACTTTTCAAGGAGAGAAAGGAGAAATTCAAAGTATTTTCCAAAAAGAATTGTTTACGAAGTGCGAAAAGAGTGGGGAGGGGTGAGGTGGGCCGGTGGGGGTGTGGGATGGAGACGGTGCAGACCGCGAACCAGGCGTGAAGACGGGGGAGAGCTCCTTTCCCAGTGCATGCACCAGCGTCCCATGAGGACCAGCACGTGTCCCCATCTTCATTCAGGTACCCCACAAGCAGATGCTAAGCGGCTGCTGAGCACCAGGGCTGTGTGAGGTGCTGGACACACAGCGTCTGCCCCTGAAGAATTCCACTCTGGGAGGGGCTGTGCCAGGTCGCAGGCAGTCAGTCGGAGGACCTGCTGAGGGAAGTGTTACAGGAGTGGCTGCAGGACAGCATCAACACGGGGCCCTTCCTGGAACGCACCCCAAGGCCACGGAGCGGGTCTGAGGCCATGCGATGGCTGCGAGGCTCTGGAAACGCACTTGTGTGACACTGCTCTGTGCTGGGCAGTGATGTCCTGGTCTGTCCACACCTAATGAGGACCTGTGGCCTGACCAGCATGTTCTCTGTGCTTGTTTTGTCCACAGGTTCCTACTGAAAAGCGTGGGTTCCCGACGAGGCCGAGGGAACAGGCGGCGCCTATCGTGAGAGTAACTAACAGGAAGAGGACAGTTCGCCCCTAGCCAACAACGGCTGCGCCTGCCGCGCTGTGGGCTGCATTGCTGTGGCTGCTGCCACACGCAGTAGGTGCACTCCAGCCACACGTCCACTCACTGGGCGCACACAAGCTGCCACGCCCCCCCCACACACACACGGCCAGTGCCCTGTCACGCCGAACAGGCCAGTCCCAATACTTAGTGGCTTAAAGCAATACTCACACATTTTGCTCATGACTGTGAGATGTGGGCAGGGCTCAGCAGAGGTGACGGCTCTGCTCCACGGCGTCTGGGCTGAGGCTGGAATGACTCCAGCAGCCGGAGCTGGCTGGGCCCCTCCAGGGCAGTGTCACGAGCTTCCTGCGTGGTCTCTCCAGCATGGCGGTCTCCACTGGGTCACAATTCTCTCAGGGTGGCTCAAGTGTCCCAGGAGCAAGGGTCCCAGTGACAGATGGGGAAGTCGAATGGCCTCTTACAACCCAGCTGAGATCTCACATGTCTGTCACACTGTATTGGTACAAGTAGTCACACCTTGCCCAAATTCGAGGAGAGGAAACACAGCCCACTTTTACTGATAAGAAGAGTGGCAAAGAATTTGCAGCCATGTTTTAAAACTAACACAATGTGCAGCTCATATGCAGGGTCACTTCCATACACAGTCGTGCACAATCTGACCCACGTCACCCTCACACAATCCCTTAGACTGGTAAAGCAGGGGGGCAACTCCATTCTTGGGGTGATGCAGGCAGTACTTGGCGCCAGCCCGCCTGCCTCTCCCCCCCCCAGGCTACCACAGGGCTGGGAGCCCCTGGATTGGAATGGTCTGAGGACAGAAGTCCCCTAGGGGGTGAGGAGGAGGTCTCACTTCATCTCCCTCCTGATCACAGGGCTCTCCTTGTCACTAGTCCACCACCTGCTGTAACAGGGAGCAGAAAACAGTGGCTGAGTAAGGGTCCGTTTTGACGGGGAACAAGAGGGAACACCCCAGACGCTTCCTGGGCTGACAAATGGCCAGAGGAATGCATGCTCCAGGCCCAGGGTCCTTGTCCTTGGGTGCACGGCATCGGGGAGGCACTGCTGAGGTCAACTTTTCTTTTCCTCTAAGGTGGAAGCTGGGAAGAAACTTGCTGGGCTTTTCACCTTTCCGAGGAAGTTCCCCCTGCAGGGGACTCCCAGCCCTGGCTTTCACCTCAGCTTCTCTGAGCGCGTCAGGACCACGTCCCATTTCCAAGGCCCCGGCCTTCAGTGGTGACACCGTTCAGCGGTAACGCAGGGGAGGGCAGTGTGTGCAGGAAGCCACTCCATGCCCATCACCTCCCTCCGTCCAGTCGGGCCAAGCCTGGACCATCAGAACACACAATGTGGGCGGCCCTCCCCGTCAGGAAAAGCCAGTGGCCCCGTGGGATGGGGCGCCACATGGTGGGAGCTCGTTTCTATCTGAGGAGACTGATTTCCAGGAAATCCTATGAGCAAATCAGCAAGCGCGACTTCCCCCAGTTCTGCTGTATTTGGGAACAAGATGATGTGGGCCACTGGAGAACAACGAGTCCTGACCCAAGGGAGATGTCAGGCGGGGGAGACAGGCACTGTGGTGTCTGGGGTAGGGTTCTAAAACTAAGGCTGTAGAGCCACAGGGGCTTGGAAGAGGACGGGGCAGGAGGTTAAAATCACGTGCAGCGCCACACAGACAGAACACCTGCGTGCATCCCGCACCTTCCTGCACACCTGTGTGCACGTGTCACTCAGACCAGTACTCCCTCACCCTCTGACTCTTAACTTGAACACCCACGGTTCGTTCTGTTCACCAGCTCAGGACCCTCCAAGGATCCCTGTGGCCTGTGAAGAGGACCCCAACTCCCAAAAGGTCGCCATGCTCTGGCTTGACCTCCCCAGTCAGCCTAAGTTCCCCTCCCGCCCCAGCTCTGACTCTGGGGACTTTCCTGCTGTCTCTAACTGGACGGCTTTCCCCTTTCATTCCTGCGTCTCCACATCTTCTCCACCTTCAAGGCCCACTGTCCTCAGCCAGGAAAACGCTCAGCGTGTGCTCCTGCAGGAGTCTGCCTGGGAAATAGCAAATCCAGCAGCCACTCTGCTTCTCAGACCCTCTGTTCAAGTCCAGACTGCTGGCTGTCCCAGGAAGAGGGCCCTCACTTACCACTGATTCCTCCACGGGCCCAGCAGAGAGCTGGCATGGGACAGACACTGCTGGGTCTAGTATTATCATTGCCAGTAACGACAAAGATTTTACAAATGGCCTGCTTCACAATCAGGCTGATACGGTGGCTGAAGCCATTACATTTTCTGTTAAGTTTGATTTGGCAAAGTGAAAGCACAGTTTTCTTTCCTTTTCCCAAATGCCATCTTGGGGGAAGTACAAGAGAAAAGACGATTTGAATATAGCCTTCAAGTGATGTGGGCAGGAGGCCTCGGACTTTCCAGTGCCCTACACGAAATGGCAGAAGACATGACACAAACGGAGGAAGCAGAAGTGTGCTCCTCGGTGATGGCAAGCGAAACTGGGCCCCTTGAGGGCAATTCTCTGTGGAGAGCCCACAAACTCAGAATAATCCACGGGGCAAGGCGAGAACACCCTCGGCCACTCGGCCAACTGCACGGAGCAGTGAGCACGTGCCAGGCCTGTGCTGGGGCAGCGATGGTACCCAGTACCCAGATCCTGTTCACACACACCCCCCCCACAGGGCTCGCCGGCAGTGGGACGGGGTCTCACACAGACCACCAGGACATCCAACTGCAGACTGCCAAGTGCCACAGTCCAGATGACATGAGAGGGCTTCCCGGAGGAGGCATGAAATGCCCCCAGGCAGCAACAGCACTCGTAAATTACATACACTCAGGCATGAATCAAGCAGCCTCTGTTTCCCATGAGGCTGAACGGCAGAACCAGGGGCCGTGCATGCGCTGGGGGAGGAGCAGCTTGGGCACGGGGCCAGGCGCTGGGGACTGACGCTGGGAAGTGAGAAGCATCTCTGAAGGGTTGCAAGCCAGAAGGCATGCAGTCCGAGCTGCATTTTAGGAAGGTCATTTGGACAGATCTACATTACAGCGCTGGTTCCCAAGGACTCACAGATAACAGAGTTTTCTTTAACCAGCTTCGCTGACCATAATTGCCACATATAAAACCCATCCCCTATAGATGGACACTTTGACGGGTTTTGACCAATGTAAACATTCCTATGAAGACATAAAACCTTTTGACCCCCCAGATGTGTCCTCAAGCCCCTTTGTAGCCTGTTCCATGCTACCTCCTGGCCCCAGGCAAATGCTGATCTAATGGCATCGCAGTCGGTAATTTTCCCCATCCTAAGATTTCATAAAAATGAAATCGACCAGGATGTGCTCTTTCTGTCTGGCTTCTGTTACTGAGAATGATGGTGTGGAGAGCCATCCTCATTGCTGAGGTGTTGGAAGTTTGTTCCTTTCTATTGCTGATGAACACCGTCCCATGTGCACATACGACTGGCTCCCCTGTTCTGATGGGCATTTGCATTGTGTAGTTTGGGGCAATTAATTATAAAGCTGCTATGAGCATCTGCATACAGGTTTTTTTAATGAGCGTAAGTATTCATTTCTCACAGCTGAACATCTAGGAGTGGAACCGCTGGGTCACACAGTAACTGCATGTTGCACTTTGAAAGAAGCTGATCCCGGTGGCTGGCAGGTCTCTGTGTGCACATGTCTCCACTTATCTTGGGTAAGTACCTAGGAGTGGAATTTCAGGTCAGACAACAAGTGACTTGTTTTTTTTCTTTTTTTTTTTGTAAGGATGAGGTTTAATTCATTAGAAACTGCCAAGCTATGTTCCAAAGTGTACCATTTTGTGCTTCGACTAGGACATGCGAGGCCCGAGTGCTCCGCATCTCGCCAACATTTGGTGTCGTGAGTCTTTTTAATTGTGCCGTTCCAGTGGGTGTGTAGCGACAGCTCATCGTGGTTTTAATTTGTGTCTTCATCACTAATAATGACGCGTATTTTTGTGTGTCTTTACTGGCCACGTGTAGACCTTTTTGTGAAGCATCTGCTATAATTTTTGTCCATTTTTATAGAAAACTTGGTTAGTCTTATTGCTGAGGACTAATGGAGGCTCCTGAGGCAATTTCAGTCAGAGGTGGTGAGGGCTATCGCCCTGACCAGACAGTAGCAAGCATCCAGACCCTGAGTGGACACACCCGGCAGGCTCAGTGAGAAAAGCTCAGAAGCAGCCTTGGGCAGACAGAAGGGGAACACCTTCCCTGCAAACACTGCCTCCATCTGAGCCTCAAAGAGTCTGGGGCGAGATCGGTGGGAACTGGAGAGCGTCAGGAAAGGCCTGGTTTTTCCAAACTATGGCTTCAGGCCCTCAGGCCGCCCAGGACAGTGTGACTAGGACAGGGCTTCCACTACCAGCTGTACCAGCGACTGTTGCTACCACAGTGCTACGTACCAAACTTCCCCAAAACTCCACGCAACACACCGCTAATCATTCGGGGGTCATGCCCACTGTCTGCGGGCAGCTCGGGCCTACAGGGCCGTTAGACTGGAGACTCTGCTCCAAGCTCCAGGTCAGACCCCTCCACACACACACACACACACTCACCTGCTGGTCCCTGAGGGACACGTGGCCGACATGACTTTTCTCGCGGCGATGGCAGCAGCAGAGTGCCAGCCCAACCACAGAACCCCCTGACAAAGCAGGTCACATGGCTGACCCCCCAGAGGGAGGGGAGTGAATACCTGCCACACAGCTACCCACCCTGTTGGATCAGCACCAAGGACGTGCCCCCCCCCACCCCGTAAGGAGGAAGTGGGTCCTCACTGATCTGCTTAGAAACAGCACCTCCCTTTCTTTGGAGAAATCTTCCACTCACAGTTCCCATTCATGGTTCCACCTGGAGCTATCACATTTGCTACAAAACCCTTCAGCCCCGACTGCAGCTGGTTGAGCCGGGGTGGGCACGTGACCCACACAGAGCCCATGAGAGCCCTCCGTCAAGGTTTTCAATTTTGGTAACACGGTAAGGGTAACACAGCTTCTCTGGCACTCGCGTTCCGGGCTGGGCCCAAGGGCTTCAGTGTCTGTTTCTCACTCTGGAAAGGAAGTTAGTGAAAGTGAATGAAACCCAGAGGCACAAAGGAGAGGAGACGAGAGGGTCCCAGTGGCCATCAAGTCCTTGGTTGCAATGGCTCCCTCCCATGTTCAGGTAGTGGGTGCATCCCAGAGTCCTTCCAGTAAGTTCTTCCTCTTGTCCAAGTGAGAGTTCTTTCGCTGTGGTCTCGGATTAAAAGGCCGACACACGCATTTCTCCACAGGTGTCATCAGGACAGGGTTCGGCTCCGCGGAACATTCCTGAAAGCGGGTGGGAATAACGTTTCCTGAGAAAGAAACGCTGTTCGCAGTGCGTGGGGTGAGCCGTCACTGTCGTGAGTGGATGCAGGGTGGGCTTTGGGCTCCTCCCTTCCCATCATGGGATGGTCCCTCCTGGCCTCTATTCTTAGGTCCTGGGGTGCAATGCCATGTGGTCTGCTCCCTCTGCCCCCCGACAGGGCAGGCATTTGGCTCCTGCAGTGCTCTCCACAATCTCCCAGCCCCGCAACACCGTTCCTCACTCCTCACAGGTCCCATCAGCAAGGGACACATTTGGGACGCCTCTGACCTTGAGAGAAAAAGGACACAACCTCCCTTGACTCCCGTGTCCCTGCGGCTGCCACATTTTTCTACTCCTCAAAAGAACGCTCTGTACTTTCTGTCCCCGTTTCCCCCACTAGCCCTTTCTCCCCACTATCCCATCACCTCTGACGACTTTGCTGTAACTGTGAGTGGGCAGACCCATCGCGAGTTTGATTCACCCTCAATCTAAGATTAAATACCTGATTACCATGAGGCAGCTGGACCCACGGGAACTGGAAGAGGGCCACCCCGCTACCTCAAAGCAGACTTTAAAGACACCTGAAGTGGCTTGTTTTACAAAACTGGCACTTTACACACACTGAATATACTCTCAAGGGTTACAAAAATATATATTTTATGACGCTCTCCTGATCAAAACCCTGTCTGGCTTCCTCTAACACTGGAACAAGATTCCCAACTTCCGTGCTTGTGAGAGACCAACCGTCTGGTCCCTGGGCCCCTTCTGCCTCACCCCTGCATCACCGCCACCTCGCTTGCTGCGCCTGGTGGCCCTGGGGCTCCCATGCTTCTCAGAGTATCTGCATGGCTGTCTTCCTTCCCGTATTCCTTCATGTACTTCTCACGGCCTGGCACTAGATGACGGATTTGTTTGCTGCCGTTTTTACTGCCTGTCTCCCAGTAGAACGTAAGCTCCCCGAGGGCAGAGGCCTCTCTGTTCATCCTGCAGCCTGAGGGCCTGGAACACAGCTGGATGAATACGGAAAAGCGTGGGAGCGCCTGCCTAAGATACGAAGAGTGGCAGGGCCTTAGGCCAGTGGAGGCCCGGAGCCCAGCCACCCCTGCGCCAGACTTTTCAGCTGTGTCAGCCAATAAAGTTCTCTCTGCTGTTTAATCAGTGTTCTGTCGGCCACCACTGTACTAACACTGTGTACCAAACCATTCCCAAGCCTTCCTGGCTTACAGGAGCATGTATTGTTCTCACTGAGGATTGACTAATGACACTGCTTCAGGCTGTGGGCCGAGTTCCAGTCAGCACCACAGGCCTCTAGTTCCCGGACCAGCCGCTGCCGTGGACAAACTCTCCCGGCCGGCCGACAGCAGAGGCACAGGAGACCCAACCAAAGTACGCAGCGCGTCTACGACCTTCACTCACGTCCCATCTGCTGAACATTCTATTGCCTAACGCACGTTTCAGAGCTAAGCCAAACCCCAATGAGGCTGGGAGACACACTCTGCCTACTCTAGCGGGAAGGTCTGTGGTTATATGGAGAAAAGCATGAATTCCTAACTTGGTTACAGGGAAGGAGTGAAGAACCGGCAGCAGTGATTCAGCTGATCACATTCAATGAGCATCTGTCGCTGAGAAATCAAAAAGTCCTGCCTAATGTAAATGTATGAGAAACTCAGGGCTGAAGTGAAAGAAGAGAAGAAGTTGTGGGCACAGGGGTCGCAGGTAGAGGGAGGTGGCCAAGGAGGGCCGGGCCAGATGAGTGCGGACAGGGCTACAGGGCGGTCATCAGAGAAGAGCACAGGACAGCAGCCCTGAGTGCAGGTGGCGGGCCAGGCGGGGGTAGGGGGCTGTCATCTGCATCCAGCCTCCAGGGGACAGCAGTGGGGGAAGCAGGGAGAACCATCCCAACTCCGGGCCACTGGGGTGCTTCTGAAACCTGTCTGCAAGCTGGGATGTGGCATGTTTGAGGATTACACAACATTAGCATGGAAGGACCTAGCCCAGGACTCTGGCCTTATGCCCTCAGTCAGCCAAGGGCTCCACTCCCTGCTCTGCAGAGGGCAGTGCAGGGGAGCAGCTGCCTCCCCTCGGAGGGCTGTGCCTGTGTCCAAGACCCTTAGAAAGCCACGCGGATGTTGTGTCCTGCAGGGTGAAGCGGGCAGGCTGGCTGGACTTCCTTAGGCCCCAGAAAGGGCCTCAGTTTACCCAAAGTGCCAAGGTGCTGCCCTCAAGACGTCGCCCTGTCCCCTGGCTCTGCCTGTGTTACCCTCAGCCACACCAGGGAAGATGTTCCTGCTTGGGGGTTGGGGGTGGCCTGAGTCAGAAGTCACAATGGCAGCACAGTGAAGGGTCTTTAGAAAAGACGGACTTCCTCCCTTCACAGATTTTTCTCCTTTAGGAGATGACTGATGCTGGGGGGCCCCAGGCCTCCGGGGTCCAGAGAGCTGGGGCTCAGCTGTAAAGCCTGCCCCCTTCCAGCAGGGACACAGCCCAGCAGAGAGACTGTGGGCTGGGAAAGCATTCAGAGACCTGCATGCTGCCTGGCTCTGCCCCTAGCTTACGTCCTTGGCCTGCTGGAATTCCCTAGGGGTTTACAAAGATGAGCTGTGGGCCCCTAGGCCAAATCGAAATGAGGCGTCCCCACACTCGAGAGCCCCGGGTCAGTGTGCACGGCCTCATCACGTACCAAGGACTGTGGGCCTTTCAGAGTCCTAATGCTTTCCCGCCTTCACAGCGGGTTCTGCTCTGGCCCCAGTGGCTTTCCGTTGCCTGGAGCCGGGAGAGTGCAGACGCTGCAAGTCCCAAGGCCCAAACTCAGGCTGGGCCTCGGGTTCTCCACCTATAAGCTAAGAAAGTTGGACAAAAACATGTCCAAACTCCCTCCTAGCTCCATAAATTCCTTGATCCTAATCCTAGGTCTTTATGGCGGCTTATGAGCCTCCTAAGATGAGTTGCTTCTATTCTAACAAAAAGAAAAAGAAATTTGGGAGAGAGATGAAAACAGATGGGCAAAATGTTAGAAATTCATGCAGCTGGGTGAGGGCACGAGGGGAGTCAACAGATTACGTACTCTCTGTCCTGTGTGTGGCCACGTTTTTCTCTGATAAAAAGTCTTTGAAGAAACAGAAGTTTCACTGAATAAGCATCCTATGACCTTTGCTGCCTAGATCCCTTGAGAAGTAACCATCCTACTCAAAGGTACCTTCCAAAGGGAACCCCCTTCCTCTCGCGTCCTTTATGCCCATCGCCGCCCAAGCTGCAGCAGCTGTGCTGCTCCCACGTTAGAAAACCTGGGGGGTTTCCAGAACCTTCTATTCTTACTTCCCATTTCTCCAGTGATTTAACTATCACACACGTAAATAAAAAAGTCACCTACAGGGCAAGACTCACTCTTGGCCAAGTTGGGGGCAGAGCCCCTCCTGCCGGAGCTCGATCTGCACTGGGAACCTTGGTCAGGGCTCAAGGTCGGAGGTGACTGTTCCCTGTGTCACGATGGGGGACAGTCGGCAGCGCTCTTCACGTGTAAGTGCTAGGGCGTAGCGCAGAGTGAGACACCCCACCCCCACGCCCGAGCATGAGCTATCTCCCCACATCTCAATGGCGCTCACTGGTCTCCCCTCAACCGGAGGGAATTTGGGGTTGCTCCCCTTTTCCAGCCTGGAAGGGCTGTCAAGCCCAAAGCAATTTCCTGCTCCCCCAGGCCTAGGAAAAGCCGCTGAGGGGAGATGCCTGATTCTCGTCCCTCAGGGACTCAAACAGAGCCACATAGAGGGAGGACAATCCCAGCCTACCTGCCCGCCCAACCAAGGTGGCAAGTCCCAGGCTGCCTGGGACACAGGCGATCCTGTGTCTGCCTGAGGGGCTGCACCTGTCACACAGCCCCAGGAGGCCACCTTCCTAAGGACAGGGCTGCAGACACACGACCCGTCTCCTTCTGGCCTCTCCAGACAGTATGACCAAACACACAAGCCTCTAGGGTCACTGGCAGCAAAAGGGCCAGTACAGGTTCTACCAGATTTTCCCAGTTGTGTTTTATGCAAAAACAGCCAAGAATTCAGACCTGAATAACTCGGGTTTTTATCTGGGGTGGGGGAGGAGCTACACGCGCTCATCATCCTTCCACTGATTATTTTACCCAGCACCCACTGTGTGCCCAGCTCTGGGCTGGGTGCTGAGGACAGAGAAAATGAGACAGGTTCTGTCCTGAGGCCTTCCCAGCCTGGAATAAGCAGCCACGAGACAGGTTTGTAGAGGCTACTGTAAAACAAAATAGAAAGCAATGAGGCACAGAGGTGATAGAAGGACACTTAAAAGGGAAACTGAATACTTGCTGGACACCTACTATGTGCCAGGACTTAGACCGGAACTTTGCAAACCTCATCTCATGTAAAGTCCCGAAAGTATTAACTCTGTTCCGCAGAGCAGGAATCGGACACTCACAATGTGACAGGTCACACAGCTAGAAACAGCAGAGCCAAGGAACAAAACCCAGCGCTGTCTGACTCCAAATGTATATAAGACAAAATGCTACCTTCAAATTTTTCTTAAATTCACATATGGACATCCATGAATAAATGCAAGCATTTGTAAGCTCTAGTCACCCGTCACAAACAAGCCGAATATCAATCCATCAACTCTGGATTATTGGGTCTCCGCTGCTGCGGGGCTGGGCAGGCTGAGCGCCCGGCGCCACCTCGTGTTTCCGAGTGGGACTGCAGCACAGGTACCCAAGCCTTGGCCAGGCGGGGACCGAGAAAAACCACAGGACACACTGGCAAGGGGCAGCAGCAACGCCTCTCAGGGTAACACCTGCAGAGCAGAGTGGCTGCGTCTGCTGTTTGCAATACACATCCTTCACATTGTAAGGAATTCCGTCCGGGATTTATGGGGCAGTGGAGATTGGGGAGGGAAAATGTGGCCCCTGAGCGAAGGAGGCAGCCAAGTGCATGACAACTGCAATCCCACGTGCCAAGTGCTCTGCCCGAGGGAACACAGGGTGAGACGGAAAGCCTCCTGGATGAGGTTATGATGGAGCTGACGCTTCGGTACATGTAGGAGTTTGCCAGGGCCGCCAACAGATGGTCCAGGTAGAGGAACGGGTGGGAAAGAGAACAGACCCTTGGGGGAACTGCAAGGTCAATATAAGCCAGAGCCAGAAGGCTGGCAGTCGGCAGGGGCCAGGTCATAAAGGGTCTTGAGCCGTGCTAACAAGAGCGGACCTTACCCCGTGGGCAGTGGGGCTTGAAGCAAGGCGCTGACTCAGATCTGCGTCTGAGAAAGAACATTCCAGGAACAGAGGCGATTTGCATGGGAGACGACTGGAAATGACAGAGGCTCGTTAGGATGCTTTTGTAACTTTGTAATATTCTTGTAACGAGGGGACACACGCTCTGAACCCAAATGAAGATTGAGATCAGGAGGAAGGAGAGAAAAAGATGGATGAGAGGCAAAAGGGAAGGAGAGCCACAGGACTAGGGACAGGGCACGAGGAAACTGGAGGAGTTAGTAGGTAAGGGACACGCTCACTGAGGCAGGGAGCCCATGCTTGGGGGAGAGGAGAGGCTGAGTGTGAGGTCCCAGCACACTTCCCAAAGGGCAGCAGCACAGCTTCAGGGACTCTTCCTGGACCCGAGCGAGCGGCAGGTGGTGGAAGGGCTGGGCTGGTGGGTTTCTTTCCCGCTTCCTGTTCAACAACCCCTGGAGTTTTAAAGTTACAAGAAATGTAAAAGTTCAGCATTTCAATGCTTTACCTGCTGAGCGCTCCCTGAGGATATCAGACCAAACCAGAGGGCAGGCTCAGGGCCAGGAACAGGGAACTTGCACGCCAGCTGGTGACTCAGGCAGACGGCACATGGCGGCAGGAGGCCGGGCCCGAGACCCTGGGCAGGAAAGTGAGTTCAGGAGAAGCTGCGTGGCGAGGGTGCTGGGTTCAGGCCGAGCACAAGGAACAGGCTAAACGTTCTGCTCCCCGGAGGAGAAACGTGATCCCGGACACTCAATCTGATGGGGGGCGCCTGTACAGCGCAAGTGCAGACAAGCCGGCAATGCTGCAGGCAGGACGGACGCCCCAATTCCATCCCCATTACACAGACCTGTAAGCTGAGGCCTCCGGAGGCAGCGAGTCAGCAGAAAGTTTCCCACAGAAACCTCAGCGTCTGGCCTTCTAACTCCATGGCTGCGACATCACGCAGCCCTCGACGTTACGTGAACTTAAACGTCATTCCAGCTGCGACGTAACATCACACCGACTGCGACGTCACGTGGGTTCAAAGGTCATCCAGTTGCAACGCACACGTCACGGCAGTGCGACGTCACGTGAGCTTAAACGTCACTCCGTCTTGACGTCTCATGGGTTCAGAGGTTACGCTAGGGGACTCCGACGTCATTTCATCCATGACGCAAGGTCATAGCAACGTCATGTAGGTTCAAAGGTCACCCCAGCTGCGTCGCCACGTCACGTAGGGTCAAAGGTCACCCCAGCTGCGTCGCCACGTCACGCCAGTGTGAAGTCACGTGAGCTTAAACGTCTCTATCTGGACATCACGTGGATTCAGAGGTCACGCTATTGGTCCGCGATGTCATTTCAGCCATGATGCTACGTCACGCCAACGTCATGGGTTCAAAGGTCACCACAGCTGCCATACTATGTCACGTGATATGACTTGTCACGTCATTTTATCGGGACATTGCATGGGCTTTAAGGTGATTCAGCTGCAACGCAGGCTAAAACGTTAGGTGGGCATAAACAGCAGGCTGATTGCGATATAACGTGACTTCTGACTTCATTGCAGTCGCCACACATTACACCGACATACACCGGCTACACGGGCACATGGGTTCAAAGGTCAATCCAGCTGAGACGCCAGGTCACGCCAGTGGGAAGTCACATGGGCTTAAACGTCATTTCAGCTGGGACACCACCTCACGCCAGACCGTGGCGTCACGTGAGTGTTAACGTCACTCCAGATGGGATGAGACCTCATGCCGTTGGATAGTCAAGACAGGAATACTTCAGCTCCATTGTCACCTTACCTCCCGTGGTATGTTTGGTCCGCATTGAGGAAACTTCCTTATGCGGCTGTATAATCCCTTGATTTTGTAACACCGTATCACTGAAAGTAAAGGGGGAACAGCATGTTTTAATTAAATGGTAGTGGATACAGTGAATAGTGTGTATGGTGGCACGGAAAAGGGAATGTCACTCTTACCTTGTACCATACATAAAAATAATTTGAGCTGGATCGGAAAGCTAAATGTGAAAGGTAAAAAATAAAGGTTCTACAAGAAAACGCAAGAAGATATTTTCACGACCTCAGACTAAACAGGATACGAAAAGCTCCATTCTAATACAATAAATTCATAGACTGCACTGTACTAAAATACAAAAGAAAAGCTTGTTAATCAAAAGGCACTATTAAAAGCGTGAAAGACAAGTGATGGGCTGGGAAAATATATTTAACGAAACATATCCAACATAGGATTCCTAACTCAGTATTTAAAGAACTTGTACAAATCAATAAGAAAACATTTAACCCCAATTTTTAAAGATAGGCAAACTACTTGATAAGGAACTTCATAAAAATAAGCATATACATATGACCAATAAACACTGTAAATTGAAAGCCTCAGTATTTTCCTTTCTATTGTATGATGGGAAAAATCCCAGTTCCTCCCTAATGAGTTTGTCTCCTGGGAGTCTCCTTTACTGCTCAGAAGCACACTTCACTTTTGACACTTCTGGCGACCACACGTGTGGGGGTTTATCCCCACAACGGGAAATTCCCTGACACCAGCTGGGTGTCCCACAACTTAACTCCATTCAGACACTGTCTGCCTGGAGAGAGCATCACGTCCCACAGGTTAAGGGCTCAGTCCCACAACAACGCAGGCCCTCCCCCGCCCCACGTCCCCTTCAGATGCCAGTCACACGTCCAGGTTGTCACCTGGGCTTCTGACAGACCGGCTATAGATAGGAGGTTCCCACGATCCCCACCCCCGCATCAGGTTCCATTAATTTGATGGAGTGGCTCACAGAACTCGGGGAAACACTTAACATTTACCAGTTTACTAAAGGATGTGGTAGAGGACACAGATGAACAGCCAGATGAGATAGGGGGTGAGGCCTGGGAGGGTCCCGAGCACAGGAGCTTCTGTCCCCCTGGGGGTGCGGTGTCACCTTCCTGGGGTGGGCGTGTCCACCCACCTGGAAGCTCTCAGAACCCCACACTATTGGGACTTTATGGAGGCTTCTCACGTTGGCATGGTCAGGTATTAACTCTGTTTTCAGCCCTCCCCTCTCTGGAGAAGTGGGGGTGAGGCTGAAAAGTCCAAGCTTGTAATCATGGTTTAGTCTTTCTGATGACGGTCCCTGACCAGGAGTCCACGTAGTCGCCTCATAAGAACAAAAGATGCTCTTAGTGCTCTTGTGACTTAGGAAATTACGATGGTTTGAGGCACAGAGCCAGGAATCGGGGCAGAGATTAATATATGTACATGTATATGTATATCTGTATAGTCTATTTCACAAACACATAAAAATGTGTTCCACATCATTACTTGTTAGGAAAACATGAATTCAACCCCAATAGGATACCACTACACACCAAGTAGAATGGCTAAAATTAAAAAGTCTTAACAATACCAAGAGTTAGTGAGGACGTGGAACAACTGGACCTCTCTTCACCCTGCTTTTTGGGGTGTAAACTGGTACAATCACTGTGGAAAAGGCTTGGCGGTCTCTACGCATATATTAACACCACAACCCAGCAATCCCATTCTTAGGTACGTATCCAAGAGAAATCTGCACTCTGTCCTTCCAAAAGCATGAATGCGCAGAGCCACTTAGCACAGCGACGGAAACATCTCAGGAACCCAACAACAGGAGAAAAGATGGAAGACTTGCAAAACAGTGTTTACAGCACCCCAAACTAGAAATAATGCAAATGTCCATCACAGTAGAACAAGTAAATGGTTTATGGTATATTTATTCAAAGAATCTATACAACACTGTAAGTGAACTGCCTACAGCTACACACAGCAAGCTAGATGAGTCTCCCAAGTATAAAATTGAGCCAAAGAAGCAAAACACAAGAGTACATACTGTATGATTCTATTTATAAACGGTTCAAAACAGGCAGAACTAAACTAGAATGTTAGGGTTGCATTCCTATGCGGTAAAAAGGAAAAAGCAGGGAAGCGGTTTCCATAAAAGCCAGGCTCGTGGAGACAGGATTGTAATCAGGAAAGGCTCTGGCGTGCCGGGGGAGGCGACGCTGATGGGATGGGGGATGTTCTATTTCTTGATCTCAGTGCTGGTTACTGGGATGTTCGCTTTGTCATAATTCATGGAGCTGTGAGTTTATGTTGCATACACTTTAGCAAGTGCTACATTTCACAATGTTGAAAAAAAAAAAAAAGCTTAAACATTACTGGGGGATGGGGGGTAGAGTACAGGACTTCCCGAGGCAGAGGCGGAAGCGGGGTTGCATGGGGGCCGGCAGGGCCAGTGGTGCGTGGGGAGCAGGGACGGTTGTGTGGTGGTCTCACAGCAAAGGAGGGAGCAATGGGACAGGACACCAGGAGGACAATGAGACCAGATTACGAGGGATCACAAATACAGCCACCAGCTGAGGCTGTGAAGGCTGTGCCAAGAGGGGACAGGTGTCCACCCTGGCATGTGCCTGCTGCCGGAGGAGGGGAAGGCCTTTTGTACTGTGCACAGAGCTTCACATCCTGGAGGGGACAGGATCTGCTTATTTTATTTTGTAAAAAGTTTTTGAAGCCTATTGTTTTTCCTATAGTGAGGATCTGGGACTTGATTCGGGAGGCACTGCTAAACGATACAGTGCACCAAGCATTCCTTCCTGTTGGACTCGGGTCTGGGCAGCGCTTCCTTCCCGTCACAGGCCCCGGAAGAGGGGCCGCCACCAAGTCCTTGGTTTCTCTGCTGCCCCCTCTCCCCACCCCACCCCACCCCCAGCACCTAGAGGCCATTCCAGGCCTGGTTAGGGGCCCCCAAACATCGCCCACGGACAGGCCTCACGCCTCCACCACCATCATTATGGAGGCTGGGCCAAGGATGGCAGAGGAATTCCCCATGATGGGAATGAGTGGGACGCGGCAATGTCACAGGGGGGCGGGGCCCAGCTGCTAGGAGAGGAGACGTGAAAAGGCCAGGCTGCCCAGAGGTTCACGTGGCAGGCTTAGCGGATGGTGGTGTCAGTGGGTTCCCTCAAGCCCCCCTCCCACCCTCCCTGGTACCTCATTTCCTCACCAGAGTTCCTGGATTGGCTGAGGACCTTGGGAAACATCCTCTGCCTGTCATTAGGTGAGTAAGAACACTAAGTATAAACAAACATCCTTCAAACTTGCTGGAGGGTGAGTACACACGGGTGAGTAGGAAGCACGTTGTGCTGACCACTTGTCTGGAGCATGCGCACCTGCTGCCCCCTTTGCTGCCTGTGGCTCTGGCTGCCACCTGCGCGGGTGCAGGGGCACCGAGGGGCTTCAGCAACACATCAGTCTGGCTGCTGACCCTACACGCCAGAGCCCCTGGCGCAGGGCCCCAGCCCTCCTAGGACCTTGGGATCTTGCCAGGGTCTCCGGGGATGCCAGCTCCTGCCGTCCCATTCCTGTGCTGAGTCACTGGTGGGGGCTCTGCCATTTTTCGTGGGCTCTCCTGGTCAAAAGATGATACCCAGAGTTTGTCTTGTTTCCAGTCGTTACCCTGACTGAACAGAAGCAAAGTTGGGATGTTTACGCAGAACAATCGAACGGGAGAATCCAGCTGCACAGCCGACAGCATATTGTATCATGTTTATGTCCAGTTACATTTTTTTGCCAGTCTATTCCATTCCTAGTCTGGATGTTGGCATGACAAGTAAATGAAGTTGAAATGAGGGGGAGAGGCATGCCATTCTGAGTACGGAGTTGTGTGCCCCCTTGTCCTGTCGCACCACTGCTCCCAGAGGCCAGCCTTTCACCTGCAACCACCCCACCGCTTGGCAACACCTCTGGTTTCCACACCGGGAGCCCAGGGGGCATGTGGGGTTGCAGGTCTCCACCCTTTTGACCTGCTCTGTTTACTTAGAATTAATTACGCCATACTCAGTCATGTCCTGAGAAAACCCAGAGGTGACTCTGACTCCAGCTTAAAAGCTGGGCCTTCCTAATGTCATGCACTTTGCATGACATTTAGGAAAAGGAGGCCTAAGTGCTTAAAATGAAACTCGGTTATGTGTAATTACCATGTAATGAAAAGAGTATCACTTAAAACTATTAAATAAAAAATGGTCCACATTGAGAGTTAGAGATCTCCCATTAAAGATAAATTTTTATGGAACACATGGGTTATTGTGGCCTAGGGGCCTCGCTTAAACCTCACCAAAGGATAGTTCAACTGAAAGTTCATCTTGTCCTCAAACTTTATCAAACCTTTGAATTCATTAATATTTTCAATAGCTCATCTCTCTCATTTTGAGCCCATCACACTCCATTACTTCGAATTGTTTGCTGGCTTTGGACCTCTTGAGTTGTTTTTTTTCTTTTTTTAAATCCCAGATCTTTAGAAAGACCAATATTTTAATTATACATAATAATTTTTCAGTTTCCATTTTAGTCTCTCCTCTGTTATTGTCAACAATTTATCTGCAGAAGCTTTCTTTTCTATGATGAAGCTAGATTCTCCTGATGCTATAATAACCTGAAACGTGCAGGGTTTGCTTATGGCTCAAAAGGGGGAAATGTTTTGTCTCTTCAAGTGATCTTTTGAAAATGTATTTACTCTGTGTAATGTTTTCACATCTTTATAAAGCATGGCAGCAACTCAACCTGCAGAAATGGAAGCACAGACCCTGCCCCACAGGCTCGGGCTCGGCCTGGGGGGTGAGCTTCTGGAGGGGGGGGTCCCTCAGAACTGGGAACAGATGGGGCCAATGGACCAACAGATGGTAAAAAAGGCTAGATGTGGAGAAGACAGGAGATGCAAATAGAGGATGGAGGGAGTCCCCACCGGGAATGGAAATGGACTTCAGGATGTGGGAGGGGACAGGTCCAACCCCAGGAGAGCATTCCTGGGGCAGGTCACGAAGCAGGACCAGACCAGAGGCCTCTGTCTCCCTGCCCGTTTGCAGCATGAGTGCTGTGGTCTGCCACGAAATGCTGCTTGGAATCTGATGGGACCAGAAGCTTAGGTGAGCTCCCCCTTAGGGATGACTTGTTGGTACAGAAGCTTGGCCGGGACTCTGGTGAGGACACCAGTGGACGCTCAGAAAGCACCCCTGCAGCTGGCCTTTCAGACTCCTTGCCTGGTACTTCCCAGCCGGCAGCCCGACCTGCCCAGACACAGCCAAGCGTAAGTGCTTACGAGGCAGGACCCAGACTACGAGGGTTCAAATCCTGGCTCGGCCACTTGCTAGCTACATGACCCGGGGTGACTTACTTAATCACCCTAATTGTACCTATTCCCACAGGGCTGTTGTGAAGACTGCACAATTTACACACGTGAAGGGCCTACAACAGGGCCGGAACATAGTATACAATAAATACCAGCCACTATATCATGGTTTCCACTATCTTGGTCCAGGGTCCTGGCACTGAGAGCCGTCCGTCCTCCTAAGTTTCCCTTCCTCCCCAGGCTCCTCCAAATTCCTACCCACAGTTCTTTACCCCTGTAAATCAGAAATCCCTATTCTCTCATTTTTTTTTTTTTACAATAGCCATAGAATTCCTAACAGAAAGAGCCTGCTCACTTCACACACACACAAAAGGCAGCCCAGCTTTGTGCAGTGGCAGTATCGTAGCCAATGAGGTTTATCCGAGGCGCGATTATTGCTAATTGAAAAAAAAAAAGGGCAGCCCATGTCATAAACCATAAAACAAAAACAAAAACTGATATATTGGGCTGCATCAAGATTAAACACCTGACAAAGGACTTGTATGCAGAATATATAAAGAACTCTTGTAACTCAACAAGACAGACAACCCAGCTTTTAAAAGTGGACAAAAGATTTAAACATGTAGGCATTTCACAATAAATAAATGGCTAATACACACATAAACAGAAGCTTGACATCTAAAGTTCCGTGGGAATGCAAATTAAAACCACATGAGAGTTGGCGAGTATATGGAGAAAAGCATGCACTGTTTGTGGGAATGTAAACTGGTGCAGCCACTATGGAAAACAGTTCCTCTAAATATTAAATATGGAATTACGATACGACCCAGCAATTCCACTTCTGGGTATTTATCTGAAGGGAATAAAATCAGTATAGTATCTGGAAGAGATATCTGTACGCCCATGATCACTGCAGCGTTCTTCTCAACAGCCAAGATGTGCAAACAACCTAAGTGCCCATCCATAGATGACTGGATAAAGAAGAGGTGGTACATTATACACAATGGAATACTACTTGGCCATAAAAAAATAAGGAAATTTTGCCATTTGCGACAACTTGGAGGGAGCTTGAGGGCATTATGCTCAGTGAAATAAGTCAGACAGAGAAAGACAAATACTGCATGACCTCACGTATCAGTGGGATCTAAAAAAGTCGAACTCTTAGAAACACAGAATAGACTGGTGGTTGTCAGGAGCTGAGGGCTGGAGGAAACAGGGAGATGGTGGTCGATGGGTACAAACTTCCAGTTATAAGATGATTAAGTTTTCTACTTTCAAGTTACTGAAAGTAGATCTTAAGTGTTCTCACCACAAAAAAAAACAACAACCTAGCTGTATAAGGTGGTGGAGATGTTACTATATTGAGGGGATCGTTTCACAGTGTGTGTCAAAACATCACATGCCACACCTTAACACACACTGCTATTTTGTCAATTATACCCCAGGAGAGATGGAAAACATTTTAAAAAGCGCGCGCGCGCGCACGCACGCACGCACGCACACACACACACACACACACACACACACACACACACACACACACACACTGAGAGATTACCTCTCAATACCCTCTAGAATGGCTGAAATAAAAACAAAGGGACACCGCCAAGTGTGGGGAGGATATAGAAAAACTGGACACACCAGTGGGTGGGTAAGATGGCGCCATTATTTTGGAAAAGAGTTTGGCACTTTCTTATGGAGCGAAACACTCATTTACCACCCAACCTCGCAATTCCACTGTGGAGTATTTCATGCTAGAGAAATAAAAATCCACCCACACAGCGTGTACAGCAGCTTTGATCATAAGCGCCCTAATCTGCAGACAACCCAGATATGTCCCCCGACGGGGGTGGGTCAGCAAAAAGGTGTTATACCCACGTGGTGGGGACACTGATCGGTGACACCAGGGGACACTTAAAACATTAAGTAAAAAAAAAAAAAGCCAGACACACAAAAACTACATGCCCTATGATCCCATCCATGTGAAATTCTTGAACGGGGAGAAGCTATCTTGTAACAAACGGCAAGGTGAAGCGAATCAGGGGTTTCCTGGGCTGGGGACAGGAATTGAATGCGAGGGGCCCAAGAGAACTTACGGCAGTGATGGAAAGAGTCTGTATCAGGATATTGTCAGCTGGCGGTGACATGGGTGTTGACACTTGTACAAATCCACTGAACTGAAGTAAAAAAAAAAAAAAAACCACATCAAATTATATGCTTAAATCGGGTGCATTTTAGTGTATGTAAATTTTTTACTTCAATAAATCTGATTTTTAAAAAAACATCCAGCCTCATTTTTTTAGCAACAGAAAAACTAGTTCTCCATGCATGGGGTGGCAGGTGCTAGGGTAGCTTGGGGGAGGGGGTTGGGGGGAGGTTCCAGTTTTTAAAATACACAATTACCTGAGGAGATCTTATTAGTCCTGGAAAAGTTCTACCCTGCCCTGATCCTCCCCTCAAAAGGCTAATGACTCCTTTCAAAGAACATTAAAGATGGGGAGGGAAGGAGAAAATTCCTATCCTGTTCCCGGGCACCTCCTCCTCCTCCCTGGAACCTTCGGTTCTGCTGGGATCGGGGTGGCAGAGGTAAGCTCAGGGTCTTGGCCCCGGTCGGGGTCAGAGTCCGCTGGCAACAGGGAACCCATCAACAGATGCTCTGGCCTCTTCCTCAATCTCTCAGTCCCCTAGGAAGGGACGCTGGGCTCGAGCTGGGCCTGCCTGGGGCTCTTGGAAGGGTAGAGCTGCTTACACAGGAGAAACTCAGGCTGTCTAGACCAAGAATGATACTCCCCACGTCCCTTCTGCGCAGGGCCAGACCGATGGCTACCCAGTCTAGACTCCTTCCTCTCCATCATGCCCACGTTTAACCGCCACCAAGTGCTGTCGATTCTAACTTCAGAGTCATCCATCCCCTTTACTGGTCTCTCCTGCCCCATCCTAGTCCTCAGCACTTTGCATCTTGACACTTGTCTCCTTCCTGCTCCGATTTTGGTCCTCACTGTAAACCATCCACAGCAGCCAAGAGGTCTTTTAGAAAAGTAACCCTCTGCTTCAAAACCCTCCAAGGATATGTTGTTACTTTTGGGAAGAATTCCAAAATCCTTAAAATGTCTTTGGAAGCTTTGCATGATGCAGTCCTGTCAACCCCTCTGCCAATGTCTGCTGCCTGCTCCTTTTCACGCCCGATGCCATAGTCATCCTCAGCCCCTCTCCTTTGACACACCGTCCTGCCTCAGGGCCTTTGCACGTGCTGCGCTCTCTCCTTAAATGGTCTCCACTCTTTGGGTCTTAGTTCAGAAGCCATATACTGCTCCCTGCTGCTCACATAGCACCCTGTAATTTTTTTCCTTCATCTACTTTGTCATGTTTTTTAATTATACATTTATTTGTGTGATTGTTTCATGGTTGTTGCTCTAATTATACTTCATAAAGAGCAACAGTGTCCGACTGGCTCATGACTGGGCTCTTGACGCCTAGAACCGTGGCACTTATAAGGCCGACATAGATACTCTTTAAATGGATGAATGGATAAAGGGGTGTTTTAAAGTTTAGGCTTTATTATTGTTCACCTATGGCAAGGCCAACAGATCAGGAGTCAGCACCATTCAAAAAAGGGTTGGTTATACGTACAGATCCCAAGGGAAGGGGGCATGCCACACCATGGGGCCACATGCGGAAGCAGCGGGGTGGTCAGGAGGCAGAGGGGCTGAGGGGATCATGTGGACAAGGATCTTTCCTGTGGTTTCTGCAGAGGGACAGGCGAGGCAGGGTAAGAAGGTTTAGGATAGGCTAGTGGGAATAATTCCAGCCCACTCTGGGCATAACAGGGGCGGCCCTTGGTTGTTAGATAACTGGTCCGGGAGTGATGGGGCACGTGGAGAGTGACCTGGAGGGTGAGAGCCCCATTGAGGAGGCAGTTGGCGGCGGGGAGGGTGGGCTCTGCATTGGTTGGTTTGCATTTGGAAGGTGTGCAGCCAGGTGAGCTGTTTACTGTCTCCCAGGGATACCAGGAACAGGTACCACATCCCCACCTGAGCGTGTGGAACTCCCAGAGGACCTGGGCTTCTACCCCTGAGAAGGATACTGACCTGGAACCAGAGGAGTGGCACAGCCTAGTCCCAGAGGACGGCAGGCTCCATGCTCAGAAGGTGCCTGCGAGGGACCGGGAAGGACTCGGCCACAAGCAGATGCATTCCTCCGTGGTGTGGGCTGTCGTCAGCATTTTCAGATGCAGACCACAGAATCCACTCAAGCTGGTTTGAGGAGAAAGGCATTTATTAAGGGTTAAAGACAGATCACAGAACCATCAGGGGGACGAAAGAAACACACTGGAATGAGCCTCCAGGGAGGACTCCTGAAGCCCAACACTTTTGATCTAGTAGCAGGAAGCTGCCAGCCAGCTGTCTCCAAGAAGCCGCCTCCTAAATCAGGAAGCCACCAGCTCCACACAGCCTCTCCCACAGCCCCGGACTTGTTTCTCTCCCTGTGTAACTCAGCGTCATATGCAAGTCCTTCCCGCTGGTGGAAAGTATTCACACATTGTACCCTGTGGGGAGCAGAGTCCGGAAAATGCCATGAGTGGCTCTAGCCTCTGGGTGTGTGTAGGAATCCATGTGCCCACAACACATGGTTTGCTGCCTGGTATGGGTCCTTCAAGGACCAGACAGGTCAACTTTTTCAAAAATGTGAATTATGGGACGAAACTCTGTCCCTAAATCTTGGGGGCTATGGCTCTACTCCCCACAACCCAACTTTCCAGATGCCCAAGGCCCACCTTCCTGAGAGTTTAAAGGTTACTGTTCTCTACCCACTGCTGGCATACACCCTGGCCTCTCAGAACACAGGACCGAACATCTGCCCAAACCCCAACCCGAGACTGGGAGGCTGCAGCTGCTTATCTGGAACATGGTCCTACCATCTGCTGGGCCAGCTCAACAGGCATGGCAACAGGTCTGGACTTCCTCTGCATTCAAAAGCCCTCGTCACCTATAAGACACACAGGTGAGGACTACCTCGTTGGCGTCCTTGGGACCACATCCTGACTCTGCCATGATTTATTTCTATGTGTGATTTTGTGAAAGTCATTTAACTTCTTGACATAGCCTATTTCTCATCTGTAAAACAGGCCCGGTACCAACTACTTCATAAAGCTGCTGAGAAAAGCATATGAGATCATGTGTAGAGGAATGCTATGTGAATAGAAAAACGACTGGCCGGAGCTGGCAAGTAGGTACTTCTCATGGGCCACCCCCCATGAGTTTAGTAAACCTATGTTGAGAAGGATGCTGAGGACGTATCTGGGTCCATTGGGAAACAATGCAATTGTTAGGTAGAAAGGTCTGTTGTCATTACCAGAGATTGTTGGCCTCGGGAGGGCACAGGTGGGAGGGCGTCACAGATGCCACATACTTGACATTACCAAGCTAGATAAGTGGGTGTTGTAATTATCACCGTAATGGTAGACATCTTCTGGGGCAGCCTGTCAACAAAGAAGCAAAAAAATCACTTGACAGAGAACGGGGCTTGAAGAAACAAACAATTTATTTTGTTGCTCTAGGAGCTGACTCCCCAAATTCCACATAGGGCCCATGGGCTAGGAGCAGAACTAAACACTTAGCCCCCTCCCCGAGTCCCCAGGGAGCCCCGTCTTATCTGCTCCTCTGTCAGGTCCCAGGCCAGGCCCTCTTCCACTGCCGGTGACACAGGATCCCGGAGCAGTGGTACCTACTCCTGTGGATACGGCTGGCCCAGATATCCCAAACACTCCACCTGGGTATCCATGCTCTCTGCACATTTAACTTGGTCTGTATGAGACCCAGCGTCTGGCTTCAAGCAACAGAAAAGAAGCAAGTCTGGATTCTTAGCTTGATGGTGTGAGGTGGGCTCTGCCTCCCGAAGTCTGGAAGGGGGTTTGGATGCTCGGTGGTTCTCCTGGGCCAAGGTGGTTAAGAAGCGGATGTGTGTTTTCCACTTTCTCTCCCCTCTAGCTCCAAGGCCCCGGGAGATGGTGGGACCACAAGGAAGGGTGCTAGGCCCCTAAACCACCATGTCACCACATCATGCTGACCTGAAACACCTGTCTTGGGCCATCATGTGGAATAAAAAAATTTTTTATTAAAAAAAGCTTTCCTTGCGTTAGGCCACTGACACCTTGGAGTTTATCTCTTAGGGCAGCTTGTACAGTAGTCCCCACCCTATCGCAGTTTTGCTTTCTGCCGTTTCAGTTACCCCTGGTCAACAGCGATCCAAATCTGTTAAATGGGAAATCCCATAAATGCATAATTCATAAGTTTTAAATCATGCACCATCTGGAGTATACTTCCCTTCATCTCATTACATCGCCATTTAATCATCTTACATCATCACAAGAAGAAAGGAGAATATAAGACAGTAAGATATTTTGACAGGCCACCTTCACATAACTTTTGTTACAGTATACTGTTGTAATTATTCTATTTTATTATTAGTTATTGCTGTTAATCTTATTGCGCCTAATTTGTAAACTTTATAATAAGTATGTATATATAGGAAAAAACACAGTATATACAGAGCTCAGTATTATCTGTAGTTTCAGGCACCCACTGGGGGTCTTGGGACGTGTCCCCCACGGATAAGGGGGAGGGGCCACTGTATCATCCTAACTTTCACAGTGGCTAAAAGGAACGTAAAATTCCCACTTCACTGCCTCAACCTGTATCTCACATTCAGCAGCTCACCCTCTTTATCCTACCCTCTGGACTTGCTCTTTCTTTTCTTTGTGACCTCCCCTGGCTGTCAGAACCCTGGGTGTCATCTTGCATTCCTCCTTCTGCCTCACTCCTAACACTCTACCCAGAGACCAAATCCTGCAGATTCTCCCCCGCCAATCCTCTCCCCAGCTTTCCCACCTCTACTGCCTTGGCCTGTTCTTGATTCTCATCTCTTTCCTGCCCTGACTGCTGGGTCAGTCTCCAAATTGGTTCCTGCAGCACTCTGCCTTAGCTCCAGTCCGTCCACCCATCCATCCATCATCCATCCATCTATCTATCGATCCATCCATCCATCCATCCATCCATCATCCATCCATCCATCCATCTACCATCCATCCATCCATCATCCATCCATCCATCCATCATCCATCCATCCATCACCATCCATCAATCAATCATCCATCCATCCATCCATCCATCCATCCATCCGTCATCCATCCATCCATCCATCACCACCCATCAATCATCCATCCATCCATCCATCTGTCATCCATCCATCCATCCATCCGTCATCCATCCAACCATCCATCCATCCATCCATCCATCCATCATCCATCATCCATCCATCCATTCATCATTCAGCCAGCCAGCCATGTATCCATTCAGTTTGCATTTATTGAAGGCATTATCATGTGACAGACACTGTAAAGACTGTAACAACAGATGATTGGGAGGACCAACATTAATGAAATAGCCCCACTAATAAATATGTAATTATAGGTGCTATGAAAGAAAATGACATGTTGTTATGAGGGCATCATAATGGGACCTTAAACTGTCAAGGGGTCAGGGGAGCCTTCCCCGAGGAGCTGACCTTTGCGCCGAGGTCTAAAGGACGGAGAGGTAAACTGGCCGAGGGCGGTGGTACTAAGATGTTCCAAGCAGAGGGAACAGTGAGGCAGAGGGGAGCAGGACACCTCTGGGAACCACCACGTGCAAAGTGTTTTTTCTTGTGTTCCCGGGACCTCAGGGTCCCTGGCACACAACAGGTGTTTCAATAGTTTGCGAATGATGGGTGAGTGAGTAAGCGAAGGGAAGGGTGGTGGGGGCAGACGGACAAGGTATTAAGCTGTGATTCATGGTCATGCGACCGAGAAACAGAGCCCAGCCTCCAGGTGTCCCTATGCAGGTTTGCCCCTCATCCCCCAGTCCACTCCACAGCCCCAGGAGCCTACACCCGCCATGGTACTTAGCACACTGCGTGTAAGTGACTGGCTATCGTCTTCCTCCTCCCCCAGCACGCTCCACAGGAACAAGTTTTGTTTACCCAAAGTACAGCCCAGCACCCAGCCCACTAGGAAGCACTGCATATAAATATTTAACGAGCGGGTCGGCACAGAGGCAAACAAGGAGCATCAAAGTCCGTGGGAGAAGAGAGGGTGGAGTTCGGAGTGAGAAAACGTGAGTCAGATGCCAGCGTCAGTTGGCACGAAAGAGGCCGAGAGCCAGGAGAAGCATATACATGCCCGTGCCATGTGGGGAGAGGCAGGTCTGGAGACAAGCCCAGACCCAGCAGAGGTGAGCGAGGACGCAGGTGCAGGAGGTGGAGGAAGAGCCGCGGGGAAGCCCAAGATCCCGGGAATGGCATCCTTCCGGCTGCCACAAAGGTTCTGGCTGCCACCGGCGAGGCCACGCCATGGCCTTCCAAAGGAAGCACCCACATGTGACGCTTCACGGCTCCTGTACGGCAGTGTGGCTCTGGGTGTGTCTGTGTGTCTGGGCTGAGGTCCCCTGGGACACATGCACCCTTGGGAGGGAGCTAGCCTCTGCCTCCTGCCAGTGCCCTGCCCAGTGCCAGGGCCTTAGGGGGCCCAGTGCCCCCTGAGTAGCATCCACCATATGTGTGTTGGCGGCAGAAGAGAGACAGCACTGGACCTGGCAGGCAGAGCAGCTGGTGGGGAGGCCCCTAAACGAACAGAACCTCCGCCAGGAAATCTAGCCACGCCAGGCCCCATGGATGCGAGGCTGTTGTCTGACTGCTTCCTGTTGGGGTGCTGGAGACCAGACTTCCTACAGCGTCTGTTCTGGGCCTCTCGCTTTGACTTTCCATCTTTCAAAATGATGGTCTTCGTCATTTCATCCTATCCTCTCTGCTCCTACGTTCTGCAACAGCAAAATTGCAACTTTGTGCATTTACATCCTTAAACACTTCCTGAGTCCCTAGAATGTGCTGGATACGAAGCCACCAAGCTTGAGATCCTGTTGGAGAATCTTGGTGGGAAAGACAGCCCAAAAATAAACACAAACCGTCCAGATGATAGAGAACAAAGTACCTCGAGGACAGGGGAGACAGACACCAAGCCAAAATCACGTAGTCTTTGATCTGCCATGTTTTTCCGGGCTCCATTTCCTCCCCTGTAAGAGTGATTATGAATAAGAGTTGGAGGAATTTGGGTCAGAGATGCTACTGTTTCTCAAACGCCCAGCCAGCCATGTGGTTCCCCAGAGCAGCTGGGAGGAAACACCAATCTTGCAGCTGTCAGACCTCCAGGGACCGAG